AAAAAAAAAAAAAAAAATGTAAGCTCAATACAAGGCCACTTTCGTAAATCTTAGAGAAAGGCGATATGGGAGGCGGGCAGGGAAGTGCTGAGTAGAGAAGGCCAAGGTCCCTGGTGAGGGCTCTACCCTCAGGCTTGTGGCCAAAGACCTAAGTGAGGACAGGCACTCCTGGCTTCCTGCCCAAATGTTGCATTTTCTAAGACCACTCTGGCCTGCCACACCCCCCATTCCGTGCCCACAAAAACCTGAAGATCTTAGTGGACACACACGCTAAGGAGAGCAGAGGAGCAGAAGAGCACACCGACAGACACCAGCAGATGCTGGCAGGCCACTGATGGTGGGACAATGTGGAATTCGGTGGCAGTGGGCGGGGAGGGGTGGGTGGGTGCATGGTTGGAAGAGAATCTGGCTGCACAGGGAAAGACAGGCTTCCCACTCCATCCCCTTCCTGCCTCTCCCTCCATCTCACTGAGAGCTACTTCCACCACACAATAGAAAACTTTGCACCCATCATCCAAGCCCACATGTGACCCAATTTTTCTAGTACATTAAGGCAAGAATCCAGGATACAGAAAGCCCTCTGTCCTTGCAATTAGACAGAGGGTCTAACTGCGCTGATTAACGCAAGCCACCTGCAGACAGCAAAACTGAAAGAGCACACTGTAACACACGCCCACTGGGGCTTTGGAAGCTGTACACACTCAACCCTAGTTAGGCCAGCCAGCATGTCGGAGCCCAGAAATGCTCCCCATGACCTGTCTGTCTGCAGACTCCCACTAGGGGTGTGAACAGCAGGACACCAAAAATCAAGCCACAGCCCTGTTGCATGCCCTGCGAAGGGGATAAGGGAAAACTCCCATTTCAAAAGTATCCCCCTCTTTCAGCAACTGTGATGCCACAGAGGTATGTTTAGGTATTAAGTGAGTGAGAACACCTCTTCCTCTGGGTAGACACAGCCCCACATCAGGGCTTATGACTTGGAGAGCAGACTGCTTCTCTCAGCCAGGGGTCCACATACAGGACATAACCAATATACCCATATGTACCAGCCCTGACTCTGTATCAAAGAAACCCTTCTTCCCCTCCTTTCTTGCATCTCAGAGTCAAAAAAAGAAGTCTCCTTGCTCTTGTCCAGGGCAAACCGCTCCAGCTGAGCTAAGCTTATCTTTCCCCAACTTTCCTCTCTCATTATTCCCTCATTCCTGCAGCTTCAATCTTGCCCCTTTTCCTGGCTTTTGACCCTATGTTTCTGTTTGCTGACACTTTATAGCCCACTGTAGTCTTCCACTGTATCACTGAAATGACTGTCATACACAACGTCATCAAAGCCCTCCTAACTCTCAAAGGCAGAGAGCTACTCTGCCATTTGCTTGATCTTTGCCATATATGACAGCTTCCTTATGAAAATTCTTCTTGTGGCATCTGTGACATTATTCTGCCCTGGATTTTCTCTCTTTGGCCAGTGGAACCCTTTGTTTTTATAGGCTTTTGTTCTAATACATAGCCTGTGAATATTAGTGTTCCTTCCTTACCCAGGATTTCACTTTGATTAAAGAGGCTTCCACATTCATTTAACAAATATTTATTGAACACCTACTCTACACCATGCTCTTTGCTCAGTGTTTGGGAGAAAGCAGTGAAAAGCCCCTGCCCTTGTGGGGCTTACACTGTAGTGGGGGGAGAGACACAGCAACAGTTTAAAAAGCAGATAATAGTTACATGAAGAGAAGTGCTATGGGGAAAAGTAAAGGAGAGCAAGGAGACAGGTAGTGCAAAAGGAGGGAAGGAGTTTATTTGTGTTACAGCAAATGGTCAGGAAAGCCTCACTGCAAAGGTGACTTTGGGGCTGAGGCCTGAAGGCAGCAAGAACTGTAAACCATGTGGATATCTGGTGAAAGATCATTCCAGGCAGGGCGAACAGCAAGTAAAAAGACCCTGAAGTGAGTGTGCTCCCGTTTTGAATATGTTGAGTTTGAAAGGCCTCTTATTTATTCAATTGGAAATCTCAAGGCAATTGAAAATATATTCAGACTTGGGGAGGAGCAAGTTGGCGGGAGGTAGGAATGAGAGAGAGAATCAGGAGTTTGGTTAATTTGGGCTAGATTAAGTGTATAAAGTGGGTACTTGAATCTATTCAATAAATATTTATTAAGCACCTGGAATTCCATCTCTGTTAATAGCAGAGTAGTTCATATTGGATTAGCCCTTCTGCAAATAACAATTACAAATTCTGGAGGAAAAAATTGACCTAAAAACATAGAGAGTGACCAAACTAGAAACCAGATGATAATTTAAAATTGTAAGAAGGAAATGGTACTGGATGTGTTTGCATTTTTTTTTTCCTAATGAATTTTTGCCTGAGGACAGGCCTCTGTCAGCTCTATAATAGGATAGTTAAAATTTGGATAGAAATATATAATTTTGAGGAATTGGAAGCCAGAACTTGAAGTTATCACAGCTATTGCAACAACTGGAAAATTGTTGTGGTGGTGGGTATCCTAAAAAGGAGAGACCCACAGAAGAGAAGCCAAAAATTCTGTGTATAAACTTTTCCCAAATCTCTGACTGTCCTAATTAAACCCATAAAAGGCAGAACTCGAGTAGTCCAGCTAATGACAAAAGAACAGAATGGAAATTTTAACTCTTGCACATTATACAAGAGAAAGAGTTTGAAGTTTTAGTATAGCCAAGTGAACTATTTTGTAAAACA